GCGCCCGCGCCCTCCTCCCCCCAACCCCCGCGGCAGCGCCCCCCACAGGACGGTGCGCGCACACGCGGCCCCGGGGCGACCTGAGGCGCCGGGGTAACCGACGGGCCTTGCCGGTGCGACACCCCCAAAACGTCCCAAATCAGTCCCTTCACCAGGAAGAGCCACCAACACCCCAGCAACCCCCGGCCTGCCGCCCCCTGCACCGCGCCACCCCGTCAGGGAGCTGCCCCTCAGAGGGACGCGCCACCTCCCCGCCACCGCCACCCAAAGCGAGCCAGAGCCATAGGCAGAGCTATTTCCACAACCCACGGGAAAGGGCCAGCGAGACCACCGGCCGCCTTCAAAGGCGGGCAGGGAGAGCAAAGCCCCCCGGCTCCTGGAGTTTCGGGGCAGCGCTGCGTGCCCTCCCCAGCCCCCCCCCGACAAGCAGCGCAGTGAGGTACAAGTGGTGTCAAACCAAGGAGGCTGCTTTTTAGATGCTCTTCCAAGCGATCCGCCTCCAACAAAAATAAGCCCGCACAAGATACTTTGAGTAGAAAAACAATAACTTCCCTGCACGGCAGCTATAAATCACGGGGAGGGCAGGAGGTGTCCCCCCGCACGCAGCTCGGAGCCGGCTAGGCCTGTAGGTCTCCTCCTGCCTGACCTCCACGTTAAAGATGGAACCAGTTGCTCCGTGTTATGCAAATTCTGACCAAATCCAGCTTCTGGCATACTGCCAGTCCATCCTGGTCGTGAACATTCAGATTAGACTGGACTCTCCCAGCGTGAAAAGGAAAGCAACACAGGCTTGAGGACGAGATTTTAGGGACCAGTTACGAGGACAAGTATAAATCCCTTTCATCCTTTCTGTCAGACCTTGACATGGGTAAAATAATGAGCTCTCACCCTCGCTACGGGTGCACTGCAAGGCAAAAGGTGAAAATTGATTTTCGAGCCGTATGGATCAACACCGGGAGGGGACCTGGCAGCAGCACGAGATTTTTGCACCCATTTCTTCCCCACTGTGCAATCCATTTTAGCATTTCCTGGTTTAGCAACCGCATCTCATCACGTATCAATCTCCATCATGTATCAACCCACCAAGTCAGAGACAGGGAAAGTGGCATCGCCAGAATGATGCATCCCACTGTGCCCTCCGTGACGGAGGGAGTGCCCAAGAGTTTCACCTACACCCCTTTGAGCTAGAGGAGGAAGGGTGAAGGTAGAGCAGATAGGATGTTGTCAGTATGATAAGACTGAATCTAAATTAGCCCCCGAAGATTTTGGCTCTGGAGCGTACATGGAGAATTCGTTTTTCAACTGGGATTTTCAAGCTGTGACTACCAATCCAGCCAGGACTATTACAAAAAATGCAGCAGTATCAGCATTCAGCAATTCAGAGTAAAAAACACAAAAACAGGTAGCAAGATTTTAGAAGCACTGAGTACTTGATTTTTTTGATGAATAGTTCTAACGTAAACAGCAAGTCAAGTCGTTCTCACAGCCACCCCTTAAACAATCAGTTGCTTTCCCCTAAATGTTCCTCGCAGGACAGTGACTCACCCAGCACAAACTCAGACTTTTGGTTTCCACTGTTGCGATGCCACAGCAAGGCAGCAGTTCTCCTGCACACTGGAAAGGAAAGGGGAGCCGGGGGAAGGCTCTCGCATGCAACAGCTTCACCTCCTGCAATCTGCTCCCACTGAGAGCAAACACGTGGGCAAAGACTTCGAGCAACTAAGTCATGGAGCGGCTTCATCTTCACACCAGCAAAAACCATAGTCTGGAGGTATTACCTTCCGAAGGCTTACAAATATAAGTCACCATAATACCTAGCATAAAGGTAAATCAGGCTTCTAGTACCAGCGTGCAATTGCTGCCCTCCCCAGTGAGACGGCAAACAGATCAATGCAGAAATGCACTAGTCTCAGATTCTCTCCACAAACATGGTGCAGTTCCCCGGAGGTGTCAGCGTGAGACACCACTGTAGCATTTTCATGCTCTCTATTCCTCTTTGTCCGTGGCTTGCTGAAGTTGGCACTGGGCTCACTGCAGAGAGGAGGGTTAGCTCATGCTTCTCTCAAAACTGCCCTTTCAAGCCACACTCAGGCTTGGGGAAGGAGCTCTCCATGGGCTTATGTTCAATTCACCGCCTGAAATGGTCCTTCCAACCAGGGGAGCTGGAAACTGGGTTTCTGTGTTTGGGCATCCTCCCAAAGCCAGACGTGTCCTAAAGCAAACATTTGCTAGAAAACACTTGGAATCATTGATTTAGCTATCTTTTACTTTCTGACCAAATTTCTCAGTACTAACAACGTGCGCCGAGGAAATGTTTTGTGACTTGTTTATGGAGGAGTTCACCTCACAGAAGAGCCGTGCAGAGCTTACCCGTGGCAAGCAGTGCTCCCTTCTGAAGGATACGCAGCCTTTGCCAAGTTTTCTTACAATACAAAGGGAGGCCAAATGTACTTTTGTCTCATAAATTTGACTTAACTTTATATTTTTCTAAGAAAGTTGACTATAAGTTGCTATTCGTCCTCGGTTTCAGAGGATTTCCTACAGAACTTTTACTGACTTCATCCTTAATATATTTTATTAGCCTATGACATAAGATTGGCCTTTTTCCTGCTCTTAGAAACCACAACCCGCTGTGATTTTTTTTTTCTGAGCATATTCAATGAACAGCTTTCTAAATGCTTTTGCTTTCTGTAATTTAACACCCATAAGAGATGCGACTTATCTATCCCCTAACAACTAAACCTCTATTTTCTGAAAAGCATACAAGCATTCTTACTATGAAAGCTGGCAGATCTTAGTTAAATTCCCTCTTCCAGCAGTAGCAGCACATGGGATTTTGACATTCATTTTCCTCAAATGCTTTTGCCATCATGGTGCACTTGCTCAGATATTTGTAGAAAACCACAAGCAGACAAAGAGAAATCATCTCAGAATTGAAGCAAATCCTCACAAACTCTCACAGTATACTAATTGCATAAAATCCAATCAAACCCGTTCAACCTCACAGAAAGGGTAAAGATTGCTAAAAACATGCTGAATATTTAACAGATGTGAAAAAGAAGCCATCAAAATTCTTGCCAATAACACAGGCATCCCTTAAGTGCTCTCAGACTAAAGAGTCCCTTGTTATTGAAAGATTTCTTCCACGTCAACCATTCTTACCTTCCGCTCTACAATCAGGGACCTTTTCTCTTGTTTAGGATTAAAAAATAAATAAATAATTACCTTTGCCAACAAAGCCATGTGCAGCAGCCACCCTGCGTCTAAGCAGACAGGAATGTCTGCTGTCCTGTCCCCCCCAAACATACAGATCTCTTCCAAAGTGATGTGTGAAGAAAGGATTTGACCTGATGTACGAGATGGTGCATCCCTCCGCCGTGACCACCGCATGCTCTGTGGTCCGTACAACTGCAGGACTGGGCACTCCTGTGCCTACTCCTGTCAGCGCTGCCCTCTCAGTGGTAGCGTTGTTTTGGTTTTAGGAGCAGAGTAACAACCAAAGTTAGGTGTTCACCATAACAGGCTGTGTAAAGACAATAAAGGACAGTTGCCTGTTCCTCCTGAGACTGGGATATAAACAGAGCAATTTTACCAGTAGAAATGGGAAGCAAGAGGTTGAATGACTTGCCCAAAGCCACACAACAGCTTACACCATGGAGCAGAAAATTGGGAAACCTGGGGAAAGCAAAGGTGTTAACCAGTACAGTATTTAAATGGCAAACCAGTGTCCTGCACTTCAGCAGGTATCACATGAACTGTCTAAAAGCAGATCTCCCTGGGGCAAGACTGAACTCCTATGTGTTCACTATGTAAGTTTGCCCATTTGGTTTTTGAAGCACTCTTTGATTCTTGATTGGCTTTAATACATCACATCGCACCTTTGTTTGTCCTCATTAGGAATGTCAGTTCACTACACAGGCAAAGCTGAGAAACCACTTCATTTCTGTTAGACTTTTGCAAGAAAAGGATAACCCTTTTTCTTTTTTCCTTTTTTTTTGAAGTCTGTTTTCACAGCACCTTCCTCAGTAAAATACAAACTTCCCTCTTAACTAATCCTGTAGTACAAGTGGAAACATAATCCCTTTTAGACAAACAGTTCATCTTCTAAAGAAGGGGGTGGGTTTAAAACCTTGCACAAAATTAATTTATAAGGAATATGAGATCCAGTAGTAAACATAAAGATGTATCCTTGTACTCCTGCTTGCTTTTTATGGC